CATCCTTGTTCTTCCAGCCCTTTCCTCTCCTTCATCTTCTCCTGTCACACTGGTCCCATTCTCCCACATTAGGAGGCTTTTGTTACTTCTCAGCCTGCTGGACCCACTCTGTCTCCTCAGGTAGCATGCAGAAGCAGACCCATTCACCCATCCAAAGGTCTTTCCACACACATCCCACTGCCAGCCAGCATGGGGTTCAAGGTCTTGCTCTGAGACTTCAGTCTCTGTAGGTGATCACAGAACAAAAGGAAAACTAATGATGTGGGTGGTCACAGACAATAGGAGGGCAATTAGCCTTTAGAGAAGTTGCAAAGAAGTCGACAAGCAGATATCTGAACCAGCGGAGCTTAAAGCCACACCTTGAGAACTCTTTTTATTAACTTAGCACAATTACACAGAATGTTGTGAGAATTCAGATAGGATACTGGTTACCTAATCGCCACTAGGATTGGCCAGAGAAAGCCTTTGAACTTATGATTTAACTCTAAGAATGAATGGTCACCCCACCCTTCAGGAGCCGTTGCTCTCTGCCAGGAGAGTTTGTTCTTCACTGTAACAGATAACAACTAACGGCCTTGGGCAGAAGCTTCCCACAAGTCTCCAGTACCACCTTGGTTTGACAAGCAGTAGTTCCAATTTTGGGTGACCCAGCTATTCTTGGACTACAGCTCCCAGAAACCCCAGCCAACACATCTGGTAGTGAAGGCTTCTGGGAACTGCAGCCCAAGAACACTTGGGTTACATAAGGTAGGGAACCACTGCATTAAAGGAATCTCTTTCTTAGCAAGTTAACACTTGAGTGTGCTTTAATATATTTATTTATTATTTATTTATCAAGTTCCTTACTTCTGGAGGCAATGTTAGATTTGTTATTTTACACTGACCTTGCTTTCAGACTTGTGTGGAGAGCTGGCTGATAGTTTTGCAGTGACTGTAAACATTGATAAGAAAAAGGAAAACATAATGTTGGGGGCTGGGGGAAGGGAAAGTCCTAGACCTTGAAACTCCCAGAGTATTAAAATGCATGTGTAGCAAATTGGTACCTGGCCAAATGCAGTCACCAGTTGTTTGCTTCCTGGCATTTTGCAAGAACTGCAGATGTGTGAGGAACCTAGTCAAAATATCAACAATATCTTGTTGCATTGGCAGCTTGCAATCATAGTAATTTGCTGGGGTGGTGGTTTGCTGAGTTGTCAAAGTCAATGTAAATTCCTATAGACAGTTTATAAGATGTATTACATGGGAGAGCAGTTTACTCCACCAGCAAGTCTCACTTGTTGATAGTTGAAGGGAAATGAAAATACATGAGGAAAAAATAAATATAGGGAAGCAGGACATAGACACAAGCTACACAAGATAATAATAAGACAGATACCAGGTACTGAGCACCAGACATCAAACAACAGGAAACAACCCTGTAACTGTGTGCTTCATTTCCAGAAGCCGGCAACAGAGAGAGAGAAAGAGAAGATAAATTTCCCTCCGTAGGTGCAAATTGGCACATGGTTGGTTTGGCTTGATGTGAGCATTGTTAAATAATTTGCTTATGTGTCTGAATATGCTAAGAAATTATTTCTACTTTTATAGATGTACAGGTTTTTAATTTATTTTAAGAGATGTGCTTTATAAAAAGCTCCTGCACTTTTAAAATATTTGCTCCTGCAATTTAGAAATGTGATTATAACATGACTTAAGTTCTGCCAACAACTTAAGTTTTGCTTTTGAATGTACTTCAGTTTTGCAACTTTTCATAGTTGTAAGAATTTTTGATGACGGTTTTTCACAAGTAGAAAGAATGGATTTCTCTTTAAGCATGTGTACCTACAGTTTTTTCCCCATACTATTCTCAGTAAGAAACCATTCTGAATCAACCAGGTGGGGTGTTACTCTGTTGGTGATGGGAGATAAAGAAACTTCAAAGCATCTGCAAACACAGTATGAATTACAAAATGTCACTGTGTGGAATAGGAAGGTTGTTCCTCATCGAAATTTTGTTATGTTCACCGCCTCCTCTTCAATGGATTGGTTCACTAATAATACATTTAAATAGAGCGGAAAACATACCCAAGTCCAAGCAGTTTTCCAAAGAAGTTGTTAGAATTTCAAGGAAATGTTTCGTAATTCATGAACCATGCTACAACTTATATCCCTGCAGATTCTATGTTGGGAGTTTGAGAACAAAACCCCTGTAAATGTGTCAGCACAGCCTTTGGCATGACAAATGTGCCAGACTGGTAAAAACGAAGTATTACACACATATGCTGATCTTATATAAATTGTTGGCAGGTTTTGCCTTTGGCGTAAAATAGTTTCAGAAAAGCAAGCTGGGTTTCCCTGCCTTTAATAGTGCTGTATTGCATGTCTGTTTTATTTGGAGACACCAGTATATGTCTGAGCTCTGGCTAAGTTTCCAAAAGTTTGGAAATCTTTACTTCTTTTGTAGAAATTAAGAGCTTTAGACAAAGGTAAGAATACTGAGATCACATCATGGCATTCCTGTCATCATTAGGACAGACACTCCATCATGCTAAATAGTTAATGGATGCTTTCCTTCATCTATTCACATGTCTTATGTCTGCTTTTTCAGTTTCATGTGTCTCATTTTCAGCTGAGAAAACAAATACCTATCAAGGCAGTTACCTTCTTTCAAATCACAGAGCAGCCTTTTTGGTGTTTTTGGCATAACTCAAGAGTTAATTTTTTCATATTTCAAAAACCATGCATATTGTGGCACTGGGAAAATGAACTGGAAGAGAAGATGAAATGAAGATTTCAAGCCAAAGAGCAGGGGTGGGAGGAAGGTTGTGACCTTTTGTTAATGGCATGACTGCACCTTTTAAAGCAAGATGCAGCTCTCCAGATGTTGTCACACTGCAACTCCATAAGTTCGAGCTAGATTAGCTAATGATGAACAAGGCTGAGAGTTACAGTCCAACACCTGGAGGGCTTTTCCATACCTGTTTGGAAGAGATATAATTAGACTACCATGTGTTTCTGTATTTCCCAGGGTTCTTGTTTCTATAATTCTTTTGATTTTTAAAATACAAGAAATAAAGGCTGAAGCTCAGTATTGTGACTTTGCTATGCAAGTCCTCAGCTCAGTTGGGGTTGGAAACTTTTATATAGATAACACTGCTCAGACCTTGCAAACTAAAGGCCATGGCGTACTTTATTTCAGCGGTCCATTTCATGTTGCATTTCTTTTCCTCTTGTTTTCAATATTTCATAACGTTATTGTCATTTCCACTGTGTCTTATCTTCTCATTATAGGTCTGAAGTACAATAACCTAAGTTTAGTCATTGACCTTGTAATAAGAGATCAGGCTTGACTTGATCTAGAATTCATTTTTTAGCCTTTCTGGTAATCCAAGGCATATATAAAAACTCTCCTTTCAGATGACTTTGTTTTTATCTCTCATTTCAGTTTGGATTGTCTCATCATAAACTTTTTAAGGTGTAAAATATTCAGAGGTGACTTACCAGGGCTACCTTCTGTGTAGTAGGAACAAGAGTTAGATTGAGTGTCACTGTCATAGTCTATGAAAGACCCTCTGCCAAAGTCACCTTCTACTACTGCAGCTTCCCAGGGCTGGTTCTTCAAGAATTTCTCCACTTCCTATCACCACTGGTATTATCAGTGCTTTTCTGCTGATACAGCTGTTAACTGCTGAAGAGGATGGATGGGTCATAGGTTGGTGTCTTGGTTCTGACCATTCTGCCTTGGGGACTCTTCCAGGAGTCTAGATTCATGACATTGTTTGGCCTCCTGATGGTATTGGTTTCATTTTTCCTGACAATATTCAGCCTCCTCACCATGATAAGGTTTACATCCAAGACAGGGCTCTAAAATAGGCTTCTGAAGAACTTTAATTGGCAAAATGCAATAATAATATGTACCATCAAGTCAAATACGAGTTTTAAGGGTTTTCTAGGTAGAACGTTTATCATATCTTCTTCTGAAGGCACCTTGAGACTGCAGCTTGCCCAATGCCACACAGGCTGGTTCTTCTCATAGGAGGCACAATGTGCAATCAAACTCCCAGCCTCTGGCTTCTCAGTCAGATACTGTATGTTAGCAAACTCAAATGGACTTTTGAGATCTGCAAGTATTTTTTTAAAAGAACTGGCAGATATTGGTATTAAACATGGGATATTCTTACTTGTATTCGTGGGGAAAATTAGAATTAGAAAATGTCAAGCTTATTTCATTCATGCGTCATTCCTGTCATGCGAATCACGGACATAGCCCTGCTGGCACTGCCCCATCTTCCTGCACAGCTGATTGTTCAACAGCTGAGTGGAGGACTTGTCATCCCGCCTCCTTGCCAGAATGGTCAGCTGTGCAGGGAAGCACCAGTCGGGCTATTTCCGCAATTGGCACTATGGGAACAGTGCCATGCACACAGCATAGCCATGTGTAACTGGACCTGCCAGTGGGGGGAGGGGGAGGGACTGGACTTTACAAGTTCCTCTGCTGTCGATATTCATATTTGTATCCCCAGGGATACGAATATGCAATGTTTAATTAATATGCATAGAAGGCCAAGGACTTGAAATTTAGGAATTTACTTCTAAACATGACAATACTAAAATATAGTTTTAAATCACACACAAGTAAATAAAGAAAAATCTGTGTTATTCACAAATTGATCTAAAATTTTGTTGGCTATCTTTTTGGGTTATTTGCCAGCTTCTTTTTAATTCCTCATATCGGTGTAATAGACTGGATTGTCACTGTGGATATCCTAAAAACATTGGAGCTAGATGTGCGTATGTGTAGGTAAGAAAGCAATACTTGAGTTACTCCTACCTGAATAATTTCATTGCTGATTTTGTCACAGGAGCCTCAGATGCAAGTACCACCTGCAGAGCATTCTTTCTTTCCTAAAGGTGAAATCACTCTCTAAGGAGATGATTATAAGATAAACTTTCTCATCTGTATGTGTACCTATTATTTTATTTTAAATAAGCAACTTAAACTATCTGTTTAAAATTTCTAGGCTTGATCCTGTACCACAAAAAACGTCAGAGAACGAACTATCACCAAAAGGCATGCCTTCAGAGGCAGGAAAAAATACTGATGACCCCGAAGACCTCTTTGATGATATCTGATCAATGTAGAAGGAGATGATGACCTCGTTACAAGTTGTTAAGCTCCAATTAATTATCTGTCTATGCCAAAGAATACATTTTACAAATGGGGGAGTTATTTGTACGTGAAGATAACATTTTAGAATGGTTTATCTTTTTTCTAATAAAGGCTTTGTGTGTGATCCCCCTAGTGGCCAATATTTTTTGTCACTTAAGATGTAAGCATTTTCAGGAAGTTGGTCTACTTACAGTTGATTCATGTGAGAAAAGTTGATCTACCCTCAGGGTTAGGGAGGAAAATTTACCAGACCACCAAAGTAGCAACAATAAAAACCATGAGGTTTAAAGCCTCCAGTCCATGGCTTCAGGTAGAAAGGTGTTTTATAACCTTCATAACATTTTCATGAGAAATAAGAAGACATTTCCAAAATTCAATATGGATGCAACTTTTAATTTGTTTCACTCCCATCTTCTATATTGAAAACCCCTATTCATTTGTTCATCACTTCATAACGTTCCGTGTGACATCTCTTTTGGGAGAAAGAATAGTTCAATTTTGCTTTGTCTCACAAACACTTCTTTTCAAACCAAGGAAACAAACAAGCCCCTCAAGTTCTTTCCATCTGGTTTATGAAGAAATATGTAACAAAAGGAAACCACATGAAATTTTCAGCCATTTACAAAAGGCTGGATTCAATAGGTAGAGCTGTTTCAAGCATAGGGAGAAGACCTTGTTGTACTTGCCTACCAGATAGTTGTTAAAGATCAGGAACCTGACAGAAAAAAAAACATAGAAAGCTTAATTCAGCAGTACAAACATTGCTGAATGGCTCTAGCCTAGGAGTCTTTTCAGCATTTTGATGATCAGACTTATTTATTTACTTACTAACTAACTTACTTACTTAAAATATTTTTAACCCACCTTTTTTCTCCAAAAAGACTCCAGGCAGCTTACATCACTAAAAGAAAATATAGCTAAAGACAGGAAGTATACAAATATTTTAAAAGAATTAAACAAATACTATATTTTTAAAAATGATAAAATCAATACTAAAAGCACATTTAAAAACAACAAAATACAAAATAAATCTATTTAAAAAGCCCCTCTCAGAAAGGAAAGCCACCTGAAGAGAAAGGTCTTTGCCTGCTTGCAGAAGGACAGCCAAGATGGGGCCATCCTGGCCTCCAGTGGGAGGATGGGAGCAGTGACAGAGAAGATTCTCACCGGTGACCTCACTAAACACACCTGGGAAGGTGGAAGGACTGAGAGAAAGGCCCCCCCTGATTATCTTAGTTACCCTGGCAGGTGTGGTCCTTGAGGTAGCTTGGACCCAAGTCCAAGGGTTTTATAGGTTAAAACCAGTACTTTTAATTTTGCCCAGAAATAATGTGGCCCAGTATATGGCAGCTGGTGATAACATTCCTGGGAAGAATTTAGGTTTGGGTTTGCCATAAGCATTTTATAGTGAGGGGAAAGGAGGGAAACTAAAAAGGGTCCTTGGGTGCTCCCAGGCCTTGTTTATTTTGGAAATTATTACCACAGCCTGGAAACAGCCTCAAAAAAAGTTGTCTGTTAGAGCATCTTACAATTATCCTGATCAGATGTCTCCAGGAATGATCTGCTATATCTATTCTTAACCTGTGGTCTCTGGGTGATCTCAGTGTCCTCGGGGGAGGGGGGGCTTGAAGAAATGTTATGATCTTTTCAGTTAAAATAGCAAGAAAGAATGGATGGATGGATGAAAGCAAGAAAGAAAAGAAAATGTAGGAAAAAATGTAATTTTCCTTGCTTGTTGGTGGCTGAGAGATAACGTGACATTTCTTGCTACTGCACAGATACAGTGGTACCTCGACTTACGAACATCCCTACTTACGAACATTTCGACTTATGAACAACTCCAGTCACAACTTTTTGCTTCGACTTGTGAACGGAGCTTCCACTTATGAACAGAAAGAGGCAGGGAGAAAAGGCGGGCAATTCAACTTTCTAACTGTAGGTGGTGCTGAGGCCGCTTCTTTGTGCTGTAGCTCTCTCGGCATTTATAGGGTGTGTAGCAGTTGGAGGCTTGGGAGAGCCCCCTGCTTCAGAGTGAGCCTGTGTGTGTGTCTGCAGCGAAGTAAGCTGCTGTTTTCTCCTTTAAAAACTGTTCTGAGTGGGTTTTGGAGGCTCTGCTTCAGAGTGTGTGTGTGTGTGTGTGTGTGTGCGCGCGCGTGCGTGCGTGCGTGCGTGCGCAGGGAGGGTTTGTGTCTGTGCTCTGCTTTGGAGTGAACGTGTGTGTGTTTTTGGAGTTTTTTTTCCTTCTTAAACCTTGAGCGTGTGTGCGTGTGTTTTTGGAGGGTTTTTTTTCCTTCTTAAACCTCAGCAACGGAGGTGGCTCTAGTGTCTTTTTGGAGTTTTTTTCTTAAAACCTCAGCAACAGAGCACCTTCCGACTGGGCTTGCTGTGCTCTTTTTATTGTTATTTTTTGTTACATTTTTTCCCCTGGGCAACAGAGGGGGGGGAGCCATGGCTGCTGACCGGAGTATTTTTTTCCCCCTGGGCAGCAGGGGGGGAAGCCATGGCTGCTGACCAGAGTGAGGGAAGCTCCGGAGGAGCAGGAGGAGGCAGGCAGACAGGCAGGCAAGCGCTCCCTGGCCAGGTCTCTGGCCCCATCCCTGTTCACTTCAGCCAGCCTTTGAGGCTCCCTTTCTCGCCTGGGTTTAGTTTTTTGCAGCCCCAGCACATTCCTATGGGGCTTGCAGTGGTTTTTTGGGGGGGGAAGTATTTTTTTATTCAGCCAGAACGGATTAATCGGTTTCCAGTACATTTCTATGGGAAATGGTGCTTCGACTTAATGAACATTTCGAGTTACGGACACTGTTTCAATACAGATTAAGTTCGTAAATTGAGGTACCACTGTAGTGAGAACCTTTGCGAAGAAAGTCAGAGTTTGGACGGACTTCGTGATTGTGTTTCTTCAATTTCAACCTTTGGGAAGAAAGTCAGAGTTTGGACGGACTTCGTGATTGTGTTTCTTCAATTTCTGCTAATAAAACCGTTTGATTATCAGGTAAAGTTACTTTAAATATTATCACAGTGAATTTCATGGCAACACATTTTGGGCTGAGCCTCAGAATGCATCACTGGGTGAATTTGAAATGTAAAAGAACTGATGATGTTGATGAGGTTGCATCCTGTTCAAAGCAAAATGAAGCTTCTTACTTTAAGTGTCACTCTTATATAGCAAGGAATATCTGTCAGTTTCACTCTTATATAGCAAGGAATATCTGTCAATTGGCTTCACATGTACAGACAAACAACTACCACAGTGTGTGTTATGTTACAAGATATTGTCCAACGAGGCCATGAAACTAAAAATTATGAAGACATCTTGATAATAAACATAAAGAATTGATGCCACAAAGAGCATCAGTTATGTTCAAAAATAAGGGACATGAGCTTTAGGAAAGTAAGAAAATGGTTAAAAAGACTGCAACTGGTTGTAACAATGAAAATGCAATGAGGTCCTCATTTGAAGTTTCTCAACTAATAGCAAAAGCCTGAAAAACACATATTACCAGCAGAAAAAAGCATAATTTCTGTACTGATCAATGAGGAAGAAAGAATTAAAGGCTATTATTGTTGTTGGTGGTGGTGGTGGTGGTGATGATGATGATAGTTTGTGGCCCCAACTTTGCCTCCTCCCCGAAGCACCCATGCGTCCTCTGCTGTCAAGAGTAAAAAAAAGCCTCACCTTGCTCACCGGCTCTCTCCCAAGACAGCGCCTCTTGCACCCTCCCTCCGGAACTGCAGCCGGCAGACAGGTGGGCTAGCTGGCAGGCTGCAGTTCCAGAGGGACGGTGCAAGAGGGGCTGTCTTGAGCTGAGAGCTGGTAAGCAAGGTGAGGCTTTTTTTTACTTTTGACAGCAGGGGATGCGTGGGCGCTTCGGGGAGCAGGCAAGGTGGGGGCCACAAACTATCATCCGGCGGGCCGCAAATGGCCCCCAGGCCGTATGTTTGAGACCCCTGCTCTATTGTATCACACATGGGGCAGTGTGAGAATCGAACAGGACCAGTCCTTTGAAGTACAGTGGTGCCTCGCTTAAGGTGTTTCCTCCTCCTCCTCTTCCTCTTCATCCTTGGCTCTGGAGGCTGCCTGAGCTCACCTCGCAAAGTTTGCTCCTCTGTCATGGGGGGGATAGCTGCTGCTGCTGCTGATTGCACCTTTTTTTGAGGGGGGCCCTCAGAGGAAGGTTGCCGGACCTCTGTGTATGTGTCTCTGTGTGTGTGTATCTGTGTGTGTGGTTTGTGTGCGGGGGGCCCGCCCCGTTCTGTTTAATTTTCTCGGGTACCGATGGGGGCTTGGCAGTTCTGTGAGCATTTTTAAAAAATGTTTATGTTGTGACCTCCTCCCCTCCTGCTAGGGTACCGATGGGGGCTTGGCAATTCTGTGAGCATTTTTAAAAAAAATTTATGTTGTGACCTCCTCCCCTCCTGCTAGGCGGTCGCTGGCGCTCCCTCCCTTCTCTGCTTCTTCGTCCTGCTGCTGCTGCTGCTGGTAGTGAAGAAGGAGCTGGAGGGGGTCGTGGCTGGCGACGACTTCTTGTGCGTCCCCTTCTCCTCCTCGGAGATCCAGCCAGGCTAAGGAAACACCTGGGCGGCTTCCTCTGGCTCTTGCTCCACTTGGTGGAAAATCTGATGCGGCCCAGCCTCACCCAGCCTCTGAATCCAGTGCCCCCAGGTAAATTGAGTTTGAGACCCATGCTCTTGACTCACCAGGAGCACCTCAGTCTGATCTGGATTAAGCATAATTTTGTTTATTCAGTCTATTACTGATACCAGGTACTGCTTTAGATCTAAATCAGCTTCCTTGGATGTAGATGGAATGAATAAATAGAGTTGAATGTGATCAGCATAATAGTTTCACCAAAGTCTCAACAATCTCATCCAGTGGTTTCATGTAAATGTCAAATAGCATGAGTGACAAGACTGAACTGTGAGAGGCCCCACATGTCAATGGCCATAGTATCCAACAAGAAGCCCCTAACATCACCTTCAGAATTTGTTCCTCAGTGGATCAAAACCACTACATAACAATGCCTCCCAGTTTCATTTCAGATAAGTAGCCCATAAGAATAATGTGGTTAATGATCAAAAGCCAGTGGGAAGTCCCTCCAAAATTCTTGTCCCGGTCCCGTTGT